AGAGAGAGAGAGAGATGCCACTAGCAAGAGACAAAAGATACAATCTGAGGGTGCTAATGTTGGATCTAGATGGTTCGCCCCTCGTGGGTGGGTGGACCTCCATAGAATTACATCATTTGTTATCGGTGGAGGAAAGAGAATTATATTTGGATGGTTGGTTGAAAACTTATCCAATCTTGGGAAAATCAGTCCATGTGGTTAATTGGGTTAACTTTCAATTCAATTCGGATAACCAGATGGTCAGGGAATCAAGGGGGTAGGTTCCTCTATAAAAATGGGGCTGTAGAAAGAGCGACATAGAGTTGCACATACCTCACAAAAGCCTTTTCTACTTTTCTCGCTCTCTCTAAAATGTGCCCATAGATCCACTTCCCTTTCTCTCCTCTCACTTCCAAGACACCTAATTAAAACATGCCTCATTTAGCAAAAGCAAGAACATACAGGCATCCATCAAGGCTCGGAATTTGCTCTGTAGTCAACCATTACCGTTCTAGTAAGCAAAAGAGAGAGACTTGAGGCAGAATGGAACTCTAGACATGCGAAAGGGAGCAATCGGCACGAGAAAGGCAATTGTATCCATAAAAAGGTATGTAACCCCCACACAAAAAGGACGTTGGATCTTGCGCATGTATATTTTGTTTTGTTTCCACTGCGTTGGGACACTTATGGTGTTTGACATTGGTATCAAAGCATCTCAAGAGAGGTTTGCTTCTTAGTTCTGATTGTCATGTTTTGCTCACCACATGGTTTATCCCTTTTCCTCAATTAGCTCCTCATGCAATCCCATATGTAAATGGAAAGTGCCATGAGCTGCATTAAGCCGTAGGGGCACAACACAATCACATCCATTGGGCATGCACAAAATGCTCTTGGCACACCAGGCACTCACTAGACTCATGTTGTGAGTCAAAAAAGTAACTTGAGCTCGCTGGCGCACTGAGTGCTTGCACTATGCGCGAGGTAGTGCATTTGAGCATCCTTTGAACCTTGTTATGTACAAATTGGGTGTTGTTCATGAACTCTAGATTGTGTGGTCCCTGGGGGTGATCCTATGGCCATCAGTCCATTAGAGTGCGGTGGACTGGTGCTAGGTGCATGCACTTGCATTCTGGACTGCAGGTCTCTTATGGTGAACCTGCTATGGTCTAGTGGACCCACGGGTGCACAATAGCTCTGAGGTTAAGCACTCAACAGAACAAATCCCTCCATACGACTCAGTTACACCTGAGTGCCCTGGTGTGCAGCCGCAACATAACCTGTGAGACAGTGGCTACAACCCCACTTGTGAGGCCTGAGGCCACATAATTTTAATATTTGGTACAGCCTCACAGAGGGTGCAGCCACACATGTACAGCCTCGAGGTCGCACGAATGCAACCACACCGGAAAACTGAGGCCGCACTGGTACAGCCTCAGCCGACAGCTGCACATATTAGTTTATGTGATGCCACACCTTCCTTGCTTGCGCCGCACAGTCACTATTTATTATTGCGGCCTTGCAGCTATTGAGTGCAGTCTCAAAAGGTGAATTGTTAGACTCACTTTTCAAATGGGTATAACTTTGCATCGTGGTGCCAGAATCAGGCATATAATATATGATTTTAGGGTAGCTAAAACAGTAGATCGCAACCAGCAAGGTCCCACTTGCTGACCTAAATTTCAGCCATAAATGTTTTGGTACGCTTTCACGACACAGCTTATACAAATGCGTGGACCCATCATGATGACCCAATCTAATTTTGGGAGTCACTCTATGTGGCTACCAGCATCAAATTGCACAAATTAAAGTCACCCTAGGTAGCTACCAGCATTAAATTGCACTTAATAGTGAGGTTTTGCATCAGGGATGTAAACACTCACTTAATGACAAGGGTTATGGTGTCAAGCCTCTAAAATCTTACTTGATGATGATTATAGCAATGACAAGCAAGTTTGTGCAAGATTTTTAATTCGAGAGTATTGGAGTTTTTATTATGTTAATCCTTGAAGACACAAGAGAGTACAAGATTCAATGTCATTTTATGTGACTGGATAACCAGGTATAACAAACTAAATCATCCATGTAATTGTGATCTCCTCTTTGATTCACAGACATGGAATGCAACGACATCAAAAAATGTAATTGCTGAAGAATGGATGGTAAGAATTATGCAATGTGGCATTCTAAGATTTGATACCTGTTAGATAAGCAGGGTGTACTTGAACCCTTGACCAATAGCATGACTCCCACTAAAGGAACACAACCCAAGGGTATCGTGAATGGAAGGTTTTAAAGCGTGGCTCAAAACATATCGTTGCACATGCTACACTGTGTTGAGCAACATGCAAAACAGCCTGATTGGGCAATCTAAGATTTATCTGACATCCACGGAGATGTGGCATGGACAATAGCTCCAATTTGCAGGCACCTCCACCACCTGTCTGCAGGCACTCATGCTGGCATTCGAGACATATAAAATGCCATCCAATGTCTCCATAACTAAGCATTTCAGAAATATGTCACAAATGATACATGACGTTGTATAGCAGGCTACATGCTAAGTGATAAGAAGCAGATTTTGGTTGTGCTTAAATCACTTCCTCAGTGATTTAATTACCTCCTCACTTCCTATGCGAAAGGGAGGCAAGCGCAATGCTCCAAAAGACAAAAGGCTGTCATTTTATTAAGATTGCTAGTGTGCGGACAGAGATGCTAGTTGCTCATCTACTTTCTAATATTTGGATTATGGATTCATGAGTAATGAAACACATAGAGAGGGATGAAGACGGGTTCATAGAGGTTCGCTGAATTCTAGTCGGAGGAGTGAAGATCTTCATAGTGAACAATGTCGCCAAGGACGTGGTAGTCGTGGGAACCTATTGTTTACAATTTAAAACTGGTCAAAGAATGTTTCTCCTAATGCTCTCTGCATTCCTGGGATGAGGAGGAGCCTACTTTTAGAAAAAGATAGAGAGAAGGAGCCTACTTCTGTCCCTAGACCCTCTCAAGAAGGACATTTGATTTCATTTTAGGCAATAGAGAACAAATTAAGGAATAATAACCTTACGGACACAGTGAGGTCTATGATGGCACAAACAAATATCTCTAGGAGATTCTGGGGAAATGCTAAATTGACTGATGTGTAAATCTTGAATAGGATGCCTTAAAATCCATGTCTAAAACCCCTAATCGTTATGGATCATTAGAAAAACAAATTTAAATCATCTGCATCCTTGGGGGTCCGTTGGTTTTGTCCATATATCTGACCAGTAACCTATACAAGAGGTCCACATTCCTTCATTAGGCATCCTTAGAAATCTAAGGGTATGTCCTTTCCTATGAGCCTGGAGAAGGCAGGCTGAGAGAGATTGAATCCCGTGCTATAGACTTCATTGGGTAGAAGTTCCCAAACAGGAAGCAGTCTAACATGACCATACACCTCTATAAGATGGTTGAAGCTCAAGAAACAGGATGTGAGGATGACAATGAGAATTGTTCCCATGCTCATTGAGGACAGTGGGAGTGAGCCACCATTCGTTCTTGAACCTCATAAGAGCACATATGGCAGAGTTCCCTGGAGACATTTCGAGATTGAATAGGAAGGTCTAACATGCATCTCCATTGATGATGATGAAAAGGGTTCTTATCAGTAAGCGTTAAGATCATATGATGCAGGAAAATGAATTGCTGTAATAGACAAGGAAATTAGTTACGGGAAAGCTTTCTATGTTCCCCCTACAACATAGAAGTTCTATGTTCCCCATTTTTTAATAGAGGGCTAAGAATGCCCCAATCACAATGCCACGTCTCTACACTGTTTTATTTTTAATTTTTTTTCTATATATTTTTGACACCAAATTTTGGACGTCCATTCCTATATTAAACTCGCACTAACGAAAAATATAAAAAAAAATATTTTCAATAAAATAAAATGACCAAAATACCCCTGAAAGTTTTAAGGGGTATTTTGGTCATTATTTTTTATCGAAAATTATTGTTGATATTTTTTATAGGTGCGCCCCAATGAGAAGATGGCACGTACCAAATTTCATATTCAAAAAAATTGTATTAAAAAAACTAAAAAAAAAAATACTTTGAGACGTTGGATCAAAGATCAAATGGTGAGTGGCTCTCTTGATAAAAAATGGACGGCTGGATGGTAGGGGGAACATAGAACTTCTATGTTGTAGGGGGAACATAGAAAGCCTTCCCATTAGTTACATGGAGAAGAATAGAGTCTAGGAACTTGTGGATATTCCTAGAGAGAGAAACGCCATCAGGAACAAATGGGTCGAGGTCGATGGAACTATAAATAAGTATAAAGCTTATTTCGTGCCAATAAGGTTCACCTAAGTTGAGGGAGCAGACTATGAGGAGACATTTTACTCGATAGTGAGAATGGCCTCAATTCACCTTATACTTGCCATGTGGCACATTGGATTTGGAGCTTTACCACATGGAAGTTAAGACGTTATTCCTTAACAAGAACATGGAGGAAGAGATTTACACAGAATAGCGGAAGGGCTACAAGTCCATGGGCAAGAGCAAAAAATCTATAGGTTGCCAAGTCTATTTATGGACTTGAGCAATCATTCAGACAGTAGAACATGAGATTTCAGAGAGTTGTAAGCTCTTTTGAATTTTCAATGATTGAGCAGGATCAATGTGTACATGCCAAACATCATAAGGAGAGTTCCAAAATAATGTTGTTGCATGTTGACAACATCTTCATGGCAGGTAACAACAAAGAGATGATCAATGCCACAAAGGA